TACCTTACAAGCTCACATTCATGCACTTAAGGTGTGTACTGACCATCTGCTAGCTGGAGAGCAGGAACTTGGATCCTCCAGGAGGGATGCAGTACTGTCTGGCCTGAACAGATAGTATGATATAGTCAGTGGGGTGACTTCTGGCAGCATCAAAACAGTTTTTGACTGATGCTGTTACCTTTCCAAGGTTTCTCACACTGGTACAGACTTTCAATTTTATTTTGATTTTATATATATTTTCAAGAGAACTCCTTTATTTCAAATACTTCTTTCTAATTTCCTACTTACTGTTTAGTATAACTGGTGATCCTCTTGCTCTTCAATGTGACCAGTTTTGGGCCAATACCTTGTCAGACAATTTTGCTTATTTGATTCAAACACACAAAAATTCCCATCTTCGCATTTGTTATTATCCAGACCATTTTGCCGTGGATGGACCTTGCAAGCCTCCAAGCAGTGGTCCTACAGGTTGCTTAGTCTTTCATAGGTTCCCAGTGTAGCCTTTTCAGGGTTACTCCCCCAGGCAGATGGAGCTCGTCAGCCCCGTAAGGCCATCCATCTATGAGAAGGTCACTCTAAACAAACCTACGTCCTGAGGACCTCACTGCCATTGTCCAAGCTCGCTTGGCCCCGGCAGATGAACCTTAGGATTAAAGGGTGGGCTCAGTTCAGCGCATGCTGTGTCTCACCTAAAAAATCCATTGCGCAGGCTTGAAAGGTAAAAGACCTTTCCCAAAATCTTCATTCGCGAAGACTGGCCATACTACACCACTACATACTACATCAGCCTTTGCCTGTTTTGACTTCAGCTGAGCTTTGGCTTTCCAAATTCCTTTCCTAACTCCTCCTTGTAGGCAAAGGCAACATCTCTCTATACCTTCTGGGTAATCTGTCCCTGCTCCCTCTTGTGTTTGGGCTCAGTCAGAGTTCTGTGCTCATTCTAAGTGAGAAGGATGGCAGATGGCTGGCAGGGATGCCACACTTTCCTTCCTCCACAGTGACTGTCACACTTAATCCACAGTGAGACTGGGATGAAGTGTGCTTTGCTTATTTAAAGCATCAGCATCTAATTTTTATGAATTTACTACTCTGTCTATAAATTAGTACTTACTGTTAATCTGAACATAGCTATACTAAAAATAGCTGTATAATTCATTATGTTCCCCAAGTCTGCCAGCTAAGAGCATTTCACTGAATTAATAAACCAAAGTTAGTTGCCTGTTAGAAATGGTATGTTGTTTAAAGGATGTGAACAAATGCAGTTCAAGTCTATGATATGTGCAGTTATTCTGCGGTGTTTGCTTATGTGGTAAATACTTAAGAAATATGGCCCTTAATGTACAAATTAAAATCATTTCATGCTTAGTGACTTTCAGTAGGTAGGTTGGAGTTCTGTTCTTACATGAACTGATCTGTTGTAATACCAATTTTATTATTTTTCTTGTGGCTAATGTGTAACCTTGTCAAAGCCTTCTGTAGTAGGAGGAGTATTATATTGTGTTGGTGTGACTTCTAGTTTGGACCCTATCTGCTTTTAATATCAGAAGTCAGCCAATAAGAGTTTGTGAAAAAAGATGCAGATTTTTTGAGACATTTATTCTGAACATGGACAGCAATCTGTAGCTCTGAGCTTAAACCTTTACCACAGAGATCTACAAACTACTTCTGCATGTATTTATCTAAATTAACCTGAGTACAAAACATGTTTGCTTGTTTTTAAGACTGAAAATACAAAATCTTATCAAATGGATTAACAGTGGCAATAATCATGCTGGGTCTTATCCCAGAGTCTCCCTTTACCCTGATTTTGAGCTCTGCTGTCCTACTTCTAAGACCCCTCCTAATCTCCTAAGAGCAAGGCTGGAATCTTGTATTTCTTCCTGAAAGTGTGCTGGTACCTAATACCAGAATTAAAGCCAAAACAAACAACAATAACAAAGTCGTGTTGTGGAAGAGTAACAAATAAATTGAACCATGAGTCACGGACAAGTGTTAAAAACACTCCCTAGCAGGTGAGTCCTGTATATTGATCTGAATGTCTGTATTTTATCCAAACACTTTGCACTGCTAAATGAATGAGCAGCCTATGAAAGAATGGATGGAATCCAGGGGTGTACTTATGTCCACTCTTCCCCATTAGGAGTGTGTTCCTTACTAGACAATAGAACTGTATCTTCTGTGACCCATTAAGGTACTATAGTTTTATTCCCCTGTTATTTATCTGCAAACACTGCAAGCTCTCCTTGCATAGAAAGAAGTTCTTTTGAACTTGCAGTATTGATCTCAGAATAGCATCTAGAAATTAATAGGATTATTGTATAATTGTTGTATCTGGCCTGTGCAGATACTGGCTTTTAAGGAGGGGAGCATGTAGTTTCACAGTATCACAGAATGGGTAAAGTTGGAAGGGAACACAGAGGGTCATCTGGTCCAACCTCCCTGCTCAAGCAGGGCTGTCCTAAAGCACATTGCACAGGGTTGTGTCCAGACAGTTCTTGAGTGTCTCCACAAGAGAAACTCCACAACCTCTCTGGGCAGTCTGTTCCAGTGCATGGTCACCCACAGAGTAAGGGGTTCCACCTTCCTCATGTTGAGGTGGCACTTCCTGTGTGTCAGTTTCTACCTATTGCCTCTTGTCCTATTGCTCAACACTACTGAGAAGAGCCTGGATCCTTTCTCTTGACACCCTTCCTGATACTTATATATATTGTTGAGGTCCCCTCTGAGTCGTCTCTTCTCAAGGCTGAACAGGCCCAGTTCCCTCAACCTTTCATCATGAGAGATTCTCCACTCCCCTAATCATCTTTGTTGTCCTCTGTTGGACCCTCTCCAGGAGCTCCATGTCTCTCTTGTCCTGAGGAGCCCAGAATTGGACACAGCACTCCAGATGCAGCTTCTCCAGGGCAGAGTAGAGGGTCAGGACCACCTGCCATGACTGCTGGCAATGCTTTTCCTAGTGCACCCCATGATACCATTGGTGTTCTTGGCCACCAGGACAAACTGCTGGCTCATGGACAGCTTGTTGTCCACTGGGACCACGAGGCCCTTTTCCACAGACCTGCTTTCCAGCAGGTTGGCCCCCAGGCCATACTGGTGCATGGGGTAATTCTTCCCCAGGTGCAGGATCAAAAGGTTCCATGCTGCCCATCTCTCCAATTTGTCAATGTCCTTCTGAAGGACAGCACAGCCCTCTGGGGTATTAGCCACTCCTCCCAGCTTTGTGTCAACAAACCTGCTGAGGAGGCATCTGTCCCTTCATCACTGATGAACAGTTAAACAATACTGGGCCCAGTATAGAATCCTGGGGGACACCACTAGTGACAGGCCTCCAACTAGACACTATGCTGCTGATTGTGACCCTCTGGAATCTGCTGTTCTGTCAGTTCTCAGTCTACCTTGCTGTCCACTCATCCAGTCCACACTGCTTGAGTTTGCCTGTGAGGATACTGTGAAAGACAGTGTCAAAAGCCTTGTTAAAATTCAAGGTAGACAATATCTGCTGCTCTCCACTCATCCATCCAGGGTAGTTGTCTCATGGTAGGACACAATCAGTTTCAAGTCTTTGCTGTCTTTTCTCTCAGCAGCAAATATTCTATTTGCCTCATCTGAGCACATGGAGAATAGTAAAATACCTGTAAAATTTGAAGCAGAATAAAAATCTTCTTGCCTGCAAAGAAAAGAGGGGACTAGCAGCACAGAGTTAAAGGGGGACAAAAAAGGCGTAGAAGCTAAAATATATCATTAAAAAAAAAAGTGCTGTGATGCTACTTGGTATCTTTGAGTGCCAGAAAGTACTCCAATGTATTTTGGCTTTGTGATTGCTTCATAAAAATAATAAAGTAAAAACTCTGCTTGTACAAAAACACCTGTCATTTTATTATTTTTTTCCTCCTTCCCCTTTGAATCAACTGTAATCAATTACTAAATCTTTGCTGGTTAGACCCAGTATAAAAGGTAGTTCTTATACCAGTTCAATTTCAAAAGGATAGCCAATAGTAGTTCCCTTCTAGACTTGTTCTATTTGCAGGAAGAAATTTTTGTTCTAAATAAGGTGTTTTCTCAAGCCCTGTGTGGGATACTTGTCTTGTTGATATGAAATAGCTGGACTACCACCAAATTCTAGTCTGACATTGGGAAGGACCTGGATGTCTGGAAGTAGGATTTCTTTAGGATATTTGAACAAAACCTAATAGAGATTTTTTTTTGTGTGTAACATTTTTCTGTTTGTGGCTGTATGGGCTGTTTTGTTTTGTTGGTGACTTTTATATGCTTGCAATTGATAAGCGGTTTCTGGAAGAAAACTAAGAGGGTACTTTTTGTATTCTGGGTTCATGATGCTAGCATGTTTCTCTCTTCATTTCCCAAACTTGGGAAACTTGGTATGCAAGAGAATGGGTTTTTAGCATAAAAATGTCTTTATTTCTACTGTGGTAAAACTTTTACTTTAGAAGACAGCAGTTCTCCTTCAGTTGCAACTGAATGAGAACAGTTGTATTAAAATGTAAATAAGCCCCATCTAACCTGCTTGGATGCTTAAAAAAGGTTGTCAGCTGAATCCGTCTTTGCTGTTTTGGAGAGAACTCTAATGATCATGTAAATTTAATTCTTGAACCCTTTGTTGCTTATAGTTTTTTTCACATCCATAAATTAAAAGGATACTTCTTTTTAGAAGTTATGCAAAGTGATAGACTACAGAGGTCTCCTTATTGAACTAGGAGAGTTGACAGCTGTGCCTGACCTTGAAGCTGTAGTTAAACTGGTGGGTTCTTTTGAGTAGAAAAACGCTATGTGTGCACCTTGTAGGGTGCAGTGGTGTTCTGTAAAGCTGCCACAAGTTACTGTGATAAAGTTTTACCAATATGTGCCAATGGCATGTAGGTTTCTTCAGTATTATGTAGCTAAAGAATTGGAAAACTTATGACATTTTGAATTGTAAATTGTTTTTAATTCCAGATCTGAATGAAAACTGAGCGTTGTCCTGTTTATGTTTTCAAATACAGGTCCAGATAATAAAAATGGGAACTCCTGGATCAGGACGGAAGAGAACTCCAGTGAAGGACAGGTTTTCTGCAGAAGATGAAGCTCTGAGTAACATTGCCAGAGAGGTTTGCTAATTTCAAAGTGTCTTAAATTCAGAAATAGGGATGAAAGCAATCTCATTATCCAGAAAGTTGGTTTTTTTAAGCTGTGCATTAAAAAGTGTAATTAGACAAAAGTATGACAATAATGCACCCTAAGAGTATTTTCAATCAAAAAATCACATTTACTGAAATGTCATCACAGTGAGGTAGTAATTGTACGATTAGTGTAACTTTACAGAACCATACTTAAACTTAGCAGATATTCCTACATGCTTAAAGATAAATGAAAAATGCAGTTGCTATCTCAAGTGTAAAACTAAAAAAAAATTACACATTTATCCTACTACAGTGTGTAGTATTCCTAAGACGGTAAATATACAGTGTGTTAGTGTTGAACGAGTAATAGTCATTATTAAAATATATTTGTAATAGATTCTATTTCAAATGTGACAAGTCATGTTTCTTTCGAAATAAGCCTAATATTACACTATACCAAGAATTTCACCACCTGAAAAATAGATGCCTGTAGATAACCAGTGAAAAGTTCAATTAACAAGAAATTGATACCAAGTGGAATTTTTTCCCTCCGGATATAGGAAAAAGGGAGCTTGGATTTAGTCTTATAGAGATCTGTTTGGACTAGAGCTTTTTTGGGAGGAAATGCTGTGTCTTGGGAACAAAAGCCTTAGTACTGTTTATATACAAGTGGATACAGAACCTTTGAGCTACATTATCTACAAGGCTGCTCACCCTAGTTGACATAAATGAGTGCAAAATGCAGATTCAAATTGCCTTTGTAATGTAAACTGTCTATATATGTGCATGTAAGACAAAACAGGTAGGTAATAAGTCTTTGAAAACAAGGTTTCTTCAGGCATTTCCAAATTTATCCATCATAGACTGTAGGCAAAAGATAAGCTTTGCCAATAAAAAAAATAATTTTCCTGGTAACTTTTTTCAGAAAGTGATGTTTCTATCACTTCTAATGGAGGTCTTGCTCTACAAGCTAAGTTCTGGGGAGGACTCTGAATCATTCATGGTCTCACTCATCAAATTCTGTCTCTTAATTTTTGGGGAAAACAGTTAATGAAAAAGAAGGAATAATTCTTTGAGTATTTGCATGGTTCCAGTACAGTAACATCAACTTGACATTTAGCCTAGAAAAAGAGGTCTCAATAGCAAGATGTAATAAATAATATCTTATTTAAAATTACTGTTGGGCTTTGTTCTCTTACATCACTAAACCCATCAATTAAAATCTGAGCATGAATGTAAATTAAACAAAAAACAAGGGGGGTTCCCCCTTAGTCCTAAATGAAATGAATCCTGGGACTCACAGCTATAAGTGTTATCTCACTAAAATAGTGTGAGTTGCATGTCTGTTCCAGAAATTAGAGGTATATTGTCTTCTCTTCTGTCAAAAATGAACAAGAAAAGGAAAAAAATCTCATAAAGCTTATTCAGTATTTTGAGGTTAATGTAAAACTGCTGAAGATAACCAAAATTTTTATGCTGATCATATCTTTTAAGGGGTAGGTATTTCATATAATCTTTATCTGTTTTTTGTCTAGTAATAATTCTTAAAACCTAGCTGAATTAAATTGGTCTAAATGTTCCTTCTGATTTCTCATTACAATTATTTTTTCTCTGGTACTTTTCTGTATTTCGAGCATCACCTTTCATGGCTTGTTAGGTAGAAGAAAATTCAACATCTTTCAGAATAGAATTGTTTGTTATTACGTAGACATTTTCAAAGCTGTGTATAGCACCATTTCTTCTTTTTTATTGCCATATCCAGGTTTCACTTTAACGATCTTAATTAAAAATTATTATCCAGTTTAAAAGTAGTGTGAAAAGTTCTAGGTCATCATGAATATTGTGTTAACACAGCATATACTACTGTCAGGTTGCTAATCCCTGGATCAGTATAGGAGAAGCTGGCCATCACATCCCTTGTCAAACAGCGGCTGTTGTCATTGAAGTGGTAGCTGTAATTCATAGCATTAGCCACCTTATTCTGAAGAAAACATACTCTAAGGGTACAGGGTGCATTTCTTAATTCATTAACAGGCTTTTCCGCTGTTACATCCTAATTTCTGTCTTTAAATAATATCTGATTTTACTGTGCCATACATATGCCTTATCATTTGAGGCTTGAGTAAGTTTTCAGTTAGTATGCTGACATATGGAATGCCAGTTCTCAGTGCATGAATATATGGAGTAGATATACTTTGTTCTGAGGCCATTATCTCAGCAGCATAACTTGCTTATCTTTTTATTGTCAAAGGGTGTTTTGTTCCTCAACTTCCTCTTCTGAAATTACCTTTTTAGTAGATGTTACTTACTACAGTAGGACTGAGTCCTGTAATCCACATGTTTTCTGTGGAAAGTGTTCTAGGTACCAAGAGAGAGCAAACAGAATATGCGGAAGCAAAAGGCAGCACTCAGGATGATCTGTATGTTGCAACTGCATAGAAATGCTCTGGGATTCAGAGCAGTCACAAAATGGTACTAGGAATTATCAGAATTTGGAATAGTAGCAAAGAACTGTAATGTAGTGTATTGACATTTCAGAGTGGTTTTTCTCCAAAAGTTCAGATTTCAGAGTGTACTAATTTTGTTCTTTGTCACCACATCTAATTTGACAAAATTGCAATCTCTGTGTTCTATGGCATGTGTCAAAAAAACCCCCAATGTGGTATCTTCCGTTTGGTACCAGTAAACATTGCTTTCTAGGAAATATTGTTTAAAGAATTCTATTGTATTGATCCACTAAATTAATTTCCATATAGTCACTTTTCTGCACTGGTTGAATCTGATGTGTCATTTTATATGAAAAATATTTAATGGAAGATGAGCACTATCATAGGATCTGAGAGCCGTGGTCAAACTACTTCCTCTTTGATATTTCTTTTATTTTTTCTGTCTTTCCTCTGCATTAGAAAACTTTTTTCTTCTGTTGGCTGTCCGTTCCCCTCTACTTGTACTTACTTCTGTTATGTAGCGAGCTCTTTTCACAACTTTTCCTTGCTGTGGGAGTTTGCATTGAGACAAGCTCTTTTGCTGTGTCTTTGTGCTAGACACAAATATGCTAAAACATCAATTGGAGTGAATTGATGCCTTATTCCAAGAACTTTTGCATTACTAAACCTCTTTCTTTGGGACCTACTTTTTATGTTGTAGTGTGTGATTCTTCCTGGCATTGAATTCCACTGCTCACTGGAACTGAGGAAGAGTAAAGGTGATGTACATATACAGGGACAGGGATCTATCTATGCATCCTTTTCTGGAAGCAATGCACTCTCCCTATTACTCTGTGTCTGAAGTGAGATTAGTTGCAGTTGATCAGTTTGGCAGTCTTACCTTGATACAATAGACTTTATCATGTTTGTTTCAAAAGCTGTGGGAACAGGTGTAGGTATATTGTCCATGTGTTCCCTGCAAGGAAAAGAAAAGGAACTCTGAGTGTAAATGCATACAGTTACATTAAAGTGGAGTAATGGCACATGTATTCTAATTATAGCAAGATTAATTTGAAGCCAACTGATCTCTTGTAAGAAAAAAGAGGGCCTATCTCCTGAAAATATAGAGAGTTCTTGGTACCATCTTCTGATTCTTTCTCTAGCTGATGTAATGGATTCTGAAACTGTTAGCATTCTCAGATTGACAAAGAATAAAGCCACCTGGCATAGAAGACAGTTTCTTATGTTGTGTGGAAAATTCTACCCTTCCGAAGTACAGATAAGGATTGTCTAGTGTAACTTCAGGCTCCTGGCAACATTATGTTCTTATTTGTTAATCAAAAAGGATTCCTACCTAACTAGATAAATGAAAGCTGAGGTTTGTGTTCTCAAGGTTGTGTTCACAATCTACATTGGATACAGCTGATATGATCTCAAGGTCTGTTTTTCTTTTGGATTTGTTGTGGGGACTTTATGCTCATTAAGTTGTTTTGTGGACAGAATATCTTCAGCTGAGTTGTGCATCACTGCTTCACTTGTCTTTGTAATTTAGACAAGCTGTGTTCATTTGAAATATTTAGCAGTAACCTGTCATCACCAGGCACCTCTTATGATTACCTGAAACTTCTTTCTCCAAGAGCAGCCTTATATGCCAGAACAGTGGTTTCAGTCACTTCTGTGTTCTTACACTGACCGCGGTTCAAGCTCAGATACAATGAATATAGGGAGAAGAGTCTGACTCTTGTCAGCTCACTGTTCTCAACCTGATAAGCAACAGTTTGAAGGCACAACCAGGATTTACCATTTATAGCCTTTTTTTTTTCCCCCCATGCTTCCATCAGTAACCCTTCCATTCTTCAGGGCTGAGTAACAAGATGACAGAGGACTAGAGCTTGTGGATGACAACTGCAACACCATTCACTTGATTTCCGTCTTATAGAACCTTGTTTTTGATTTTAGTGGTTTGTTTTGTTTTGTTTTTTTCAGAAACTGTTCTCATTACTATTTTCACTGTGTAGCAGGAGCCTGGAAGCTCTTAAGAGGTGTTTTCTCATGAGAGAGAAAGATTCATTTGGATTTAAAATTCACTCTGTAGTTGCTCAGACTTGGAGTAGAGTGCAGTTGTTCTTACTTTGGTAAAGATGTCATGTTACTGAATTACCATGGTAGAAAAAGCTAAGAGTTCAATATTTTTAAATGTTGAAGGCTAGATCATGAAGTAAAAAGGGAGTTAACAACATAGTTTTTTTCTTATTGAATCTATTCAAAGCTCAGTACACTTTTTTCTCTGCATATAGCTTCAGCTTCTCTTAAGAAAACAAGCAAAGCCTCAAAGAATCCCACCCTCATAGATATTGCCTTTATAGATGCTAGATGACTTTTTAATTTGTTTTATTAAGGGATCTTTAGTATTAATTCAAAGTTTAGTTTACTTTTGTTTTTAATAGTGGTTAAGGGTATTTTATATGATAGAAGATATTCTAGACATTTTCTAATCTATATATGAATGTGTAAAATAAATGGCAAAAGAATAAGAGACATCAGAAATAAAGAATCTTAAAC